TTCATCTGTCGTCGACAAGAGGACCCCTGGCTCAGCGAGGACAGTGTGGGGCCCCGCCCCGTCAGTCTTGACCGCGTTCCCATTGCTTTTCCTGCCCTGAACCCCTCCCTCCTCCATAATCTTCCTTTTTTTTAGATTGAGATATAATCACATAACATATATTTCACATAACATAAAATTCCCCAGTTTGAATTGTACAATCCAGTGGTTTTTAGTATAGTCACAAGGTTGTGCAACTATCAATACTATCCTATCCCAGAATATTCCCATTATCCCCAAAAGAAATCCTATACCCATTAGCAGTCACTCTCCATTTTCCCTGCCCCTGGCAATCAGTAATCTATTTTCTGTTTCTGTGGATTTGCCTATCCTGGACATTTCATATAAACTGGATCATATAATATGTGGCCTTTTGTGTCTGGCTTCTTTCACTTAATATAATGTTTTCAAGGTTCATTTATGTGGTAGCATGAATCAGTGCTTCATTCCTTTTTATTCCAAATAATATTCCATTGTGTGATGGATCCAGTTTTGTGTATCCATTCATCATCTGATGGACATTTGGGTTGTTTGCACTCTGGCTCTTGTGAATAATGCAGCCACGAACGTTCGTGTATGAGTTTTTGTGTGGATGTATGCTTTTTTTTTTAGATTTTATTTATTTATTTGACACAGAGAAAGAGAGTGAGAGAGGGAACACAAGCGGGGGCAGGGGGTGGGAGAGGGAGAAGCAGGCTTCCCACCGAGCAGGGAGCCCGATGCGGGACTCGATCCCAGGACCCTAAGATCATGACCTGAGCCGAAGGCAGATGCTTAACTGACTGAGCCACCCAGGCGCCCCTGGATGTAGGTTTTTAATTCTCTTGAGTAAATATCCAGGAGTGGGACTGCTGGGTACCTCTGTGTATAAGCTTTTAAGGAACCGCCAGACGTTCCCAGACTCTTCATGGGCAGCTCTGCCTTAACAGAATTTCAGCATCACTGAGAAGCACCTCTTCCCCAAAATATTCTCCTGGTTTTTGCCATGGAAGAAATTACTTTAATGGAGCTTAGAATTATTCCCTTTATAGTAAGCGTTAAGGTTCAAAATGCAATACTGTTGAGCAAGGGAACAGAGTGACTCAAATTCACACCAAGAGGTAAGTCAGATCTTTTCTCAGAGCAGTTTTGATGAGAGGAAAAAAGAAAACGTGTCAGAACGCTGGGGATCTGCAAGGGGGGAGAAGGAGGCCACAGAGTCTGAATCTGGGGTAGGCTGTGCACTTTTAAAAAAGGACAGGCCAGCTTTTCCTCTCAAGTACCATAGTGAATACCAGGCTCCTATTTTGCGAATTCATTTATTTCAAATAGCACCTACTGAGCACTGACTTCATGAGAGAACATTCACCTGGACATTTTAGGAGGAATAAGACACATTCCCTGAGGAGTTAAAGATTCCGTGGGTTGGACAAGTCTCAGGGCTTTCCTCTGAGATCACGTCACTTCATTGGTTGGATGCTGACATGTCTTTTCTTTTCTTGGAGGGATGGCTGATGACTGGTGGAGGCAGCTTCTATTTCTTTAACATCTAATTTGGCAACATAAAATTTGGTAGCCCTATGTTGGTCTAACAAATTACTGCAATATTCCTTGTTTTTTAAAATCCCTCATCCCCACCTCAAAATCAGAGTTTAGAGGAAGAACAACGGGTATTAAGAGACAAAGGCTATTGATCCAACTCGATTCCCACGTGTATTAAGATGGATAAAGAAAGCAATGTTGTAGCAGTTAGGATTAACCTAGATAGTGAGGTCTAGGCAGAGAATTGCTTTCTGAGATTCTGCCAGGCCCAGAGTTAAGAAAGCCACAGCTGAAACTTCAGTGCCTCGTTCCTGGCGAGTCTGGGAGGGAGTCTTGACCTCTCGAGCACGGCAGCATGTGCCCATGGCCCTCCGTAATCTAAAAGGATGGGGTCAAAGGAATGTCAGACCTTGGCTCTGTGCCACCTATTTCTGAGAAACTCTGGTCTTACGTGCCTTAGTTTACCTCTCTGGACCTCAGCTTCCACACTGGTAACATAACAGCAAGAGCTGATCTGGGGCTCACGGGCACTATTTTGAGGACTTTGGAGATATACATATTTAATTCTATGAGAACCGTATGAGAATGGGACCCATAATTGTCCCCATGAGTTGCCCAGACTCTCACACGACTGTCAGTGGCAGAGCCGAGATCTGAATCCTAACTGCCTATTGTCAAGGCTCATACCACTTCTTCCTTTTAAAAAATTTATATTTGCATATTCTATGTTAAATTAAGTCATTCATTCTATTACTGGAGTGGTGTGAGAATAATTTGATACTGAGTAGCACTGTGGCGCTCCCTCACGACTCTGCTCAAGAAATACTGGAAAAGGACGAGAAAGCACATGTTCCCATCAACTTGAAATGCCAATGTAAGTGAATTTAATATTATTATGAGCTGTGCTTGAAATTCCCATTGCTAGCATTAACTTGGGATATTCTTTCCATCTCTACAACACCGCTGTGGCTTTATTTTTTTAATGATTTTATTTATTTATTTGACAGTGAGAGACACAGCGAGAGAGGGAACACAAGCAGGGGGAGCAGGAGAGGGAGAAGCAGGCTTCCCGTGGAGCAGGGAGCCTGATGCGGGGCTCGATCTCAGGACCCTGGGACCATGACCTGAGCCGAAGGCAGACGCTTAACGACTGAGCCACCCAGGTGCCCCCTCCCCCTCACTGTGGCTTTTAAACAACTGAGATGACATGTTCGAGAAAGCTAGTGAGAGCCAGAAGGAAAGATAAGGGCCCTTCAGGGAGTGGTGTGCCTCCTGAGACCCTCCCAGGGTGCATCTAAGCTCCACTGGGAACCTCGCCCCACTCCACCTCCAAACCTAACCCAGCCTGGCTCTCGTGGAACCAAATGTACATACCAAATGACATGAGAGTAACCAGAGCAGTGCATCCACAAACGTCAACTAAAGGGCACGCCAATTTAAAAAAGGAATATTGATTTAAGGTAAGTCTTAAAGGACCGGTTAAGCATGGCAGGAGACAAGAAATTTTAAATACTTTTCTAATTCACAGAAATTTTTAATTAGTAAATAGTTTCTTCAGCATATACAGGGGAGGGCCATTAATGCTTCTGGTGCTCCTTTCAGCGTGTATGCAGCAGGTGGGTGCTGCATCGCCATTTCACTACCCCTGTCGCACCAAGAGCGCTTGCTAGACACACCTGCCGTTCACCAAATGCTCATGGACTGGGGGGAGGATGAGCCAGTTCTCGGTCATCATAAGAAGGAGGTTAAGCGAATCTTAACATCATCACTCCTCCCCCATCTCAGCCCCGAGATCCTCCCCTCTCCTCTGAAGGACTCCCTCTCCGCCTACTTCTCTGATATGGTTTTAGGCTCCTCCTCCTGAAACCCACCTCTGGGGATTGAATTTCCTTGTCCAGGACCCTGTCCTCTATACATTCTGCCAGTCTCGATTCTGAGCTCCAGGATCTACGACCAGCTGTCTGCTTCATCTCTCGCCTTGGGAATCCCCTAAGGTATCTCCAACCGAACTTCTCCAAACCGGGGCTTGATATCATCCCCCGTCCTCCCATACACAACATCTTCCGGGTTCCTCCCTCTCAATAAGTGGCACCGTGACCTTCCCTGTTGTCCTCCTGGATCCCCACTTTCTCCCGCCCCCGGCATTCTGATTCACCACCTCGTTCTGCCCCTTTGGGTCCCAGGGCTCACCTCCATGGTGGCATCTGACCCGAGCCATCCCGCTCGGGTCCTTGTTCCCTTCTTCTAATACTCCACATAGCAGCCAGAGTGACCCCAACAATCTCACTCATGGAACCGATGGTCACTCACTGCATTTGGAAGAAATCCAAGGTCCTTGGCAGGACCTTTGGCAATCGGGAGGGTCTGGCCTCACTGACCTCTCTCATGTGTTTGAGAGTTGGCCACTCTTCCCTTACCCATCTGTCCCCAGGCTGGCTTCCTGTCACTGCCTGGGACACGCCCAGCACCCCGTCCTTGGGCCCTTGCCATTGGCTTCTCTTGGTGCCTGTCATGAGGTGATGGTGCCTGAACTCTGGATGAGGAGGGGCTGGGGAGGCCGCACAGCTACCCTGTCCTCGAAATCAGTATTCACAGTGTAGCTCCACTCGGGGGTTCCAACTACTGTGAATTCCCAGATAGTATGCTTATGGAATCTCTTCCACAGGTATGAATTTTTAGAGTTTACAGACTTAAAATGTAAAAGTGCTCATTTCTTGCTGTCCCAAGTGTTATATAAAACAACTTTAAATACAGTTTTTGTTATCAAAATAAACATATCTAGAAATTCTTGATTAACATTCTTCTTGGGCCCACTATTGTCTAATGGTTATAGAATGAATCTAAAATAGCAAAAGAAAATAGGAAAATGAGCATTTCAGGGAAAAACAATGAGCCAGCCTAGGCACCAGAGTCCTTTCCTTATTTCATATTTCTCATTGCATTTTTTCATCAAGGCTTTACTTATTCTATTAATTACCATCCACTTTCAAGGTTCTAGTCTACTTCTAACATGTATAGGATGATCACTTATTACTTTAACCAAGAGCTTGGGTTCGATTGCAGATGTGGATATTATTTTAAAATTTAATTTGGGGGCCCTGTTCCAAAGTGAAAATATAGTAACGAATATCTAAGTACATTCTAATTTACAGATATGCCTATAATTTTATAGAAAGCAAAAAGATGAACAGAACTGAAAACAAGGGTCTGGGTAAAATGAATACACCTGCTTCTAGTTCTTCCTTGAAACACTGATTCCCGTTGGAGTTTCAGTTTTCCATCTACCAAACCCGTGCCCTTTTAAAAGTTGATTTCTGTAGTAAGATGTTAATGCTTTGTTCCTTGCACTCAAGAGACTTCAGTGACCCTGGGAGGGCAGCATAACTGAGGGCTAAAGGGTAGCTTCAGAGAGGCCTGGCCATGCTCAGAAGCTGACTTACTATTGTGCGCAGTCAATCAGCTGGTACTCGTTGGACCTCTCAAAGCACGCCTTAACGCCTTCATCATCCCAGAGCTTCTTCACATGATCGAAGAATTCCTAATATTTGAAAAAGTTCGAAATAAGAAAGCACAAGTGTTATAATCTTTTTAAAAAGTTAAAAGTAAAAAGAAACTGCCAAAACATTTTTGCAGGTAGCGCATGAACTGTTTTCCTTGTAGGAGTCGACTTCACACACAGGAAAACGCGTAGGACTTGAGAGCGGCCTGATGAGAAATGGATGCATCTGTGTTATCGTTGCTCGATTCAACCTGTCAAACGTTCTTGTCCTTCCAGAAAGTTCCCCCAAATGAAAATTATGAGTCAAAAGTAATTTTGTGGCACTCATCAACTATATATACAACAGCTATTGTAACAAAAATTTTAAAGTTCTTCGTACTCCGTCACCTGCCTAGTGGTACTTGTCACTTCAGCAGTGAAAAGTGTGCCTATTCCAATGGTAAGTTCTGTTTTAGCTGTTGTCTTTGAAAGTTTCCGTAAGCCTTGATTATGAATAGCCATGATTGAGCAGATGGGTTAAATTCGGCCCAGAAGCATTAGGTACATCAGAAGTAAACCTTGAAAATTTCACTCTTTGGGGATACTAATTCGCTGTTTTCTGGCATTTTTTAACACTATGAGTTACATGTGAACTGTGATTTTTGGTTCCCTCAAGCCCATGTGGGCACAGAGCTTAATTTCATCCATTATGGCAAGCAGCACCCTCTGAAACAAGAACTCTCCTTCTCTCAAAGTAAGAGGTAGCTTTATGAATTCATATTTCCAAAATTACCCAAATTAAATTAACAGTGCTATGGAAGCAAATGACAACACATCAGCTGCTAAATATAAAAGAAGTTACGTAAATTTTCACAAACCTGTTCATTAGAATATTTATATCCCTTCCCACATTAGTCATCTGCCCTTGCGGCAGCCCCAGGAAGCACCCATTCCCATCTCTGATCTGCACCAAAGGGTCTGGGGCTTCTGACACCTCATGTCCATCGATTTTTTGGAGGAAAAAAAATAAAGGGCTGATTCTTTTATTGAAGATTCACAAGTCCATACAAAGGTGGACCTAAGTACTGAGGGGGCCCTCTTTGAAAAAAATCACGAGTACACAATTAGGTACAAAACCTTAGAAGGGGCAGGAGGGGTGAGGGGCCATGAGGTTCTGACGTCCTAGGATCAGGGACAATCTCTAATGGTCTGCCGTGTCTCTATACCTATTGTCTGTCCGGCTGCTCACTGTCGCCAACAAATCCAAACTCCCCACAGGTGACGACGAAGGGGAAATCTCCGTGTGAAGGAGAGGAGCTGAACCTCAGTTTTTGTCTCCCTAGATTTATGGCTCCTTCTGGAATCTCCCACTACTGCTCTTGTCACTCCAGTGAGGGAGTTTTTATAGGCTTCCTTAAAAACTTTTTTCTTCTAAGAGCCATATGAAGACACACACACACACACACACACACACACACACACACCCCAAACGAAAAATACTGTTTTCTATTGTCGAGACGGTCTTGAAAGACAATGTTAACCCCTGTGTCATGGTGATATTTGGAATCGAGCCCCATCTCTCTCCTCTCCTGCAAACCCCCAGTGTAGTAGTTTCTTGAATAAAGTTCCTTAGTGTCTTTTATCAGGTGTCTGAATCATTTTTTTCTTCAGCAGAATGAGCTGAAGCCTCTGAGACAGAATTATAGAGGAGTGCTTGAATCAAGAACCAAGATGCACGATTTCTGGGGTCCGTGTTGATAGCGGTAGTAAAACAGGAATTGTGGGCACTGTGTTTTTAAAGCAGATGCTTTGGACGACACCAAAGGAACATAAAAGCAGCAACAATCTCTGCTTCGGCTTCGTGGTTGGTGAACAAAGACACTGGACTGGAATATAGCTAGGTCTCCAGGATTCTCCATGTTTACTTTTTAAGGGGTTCTAAAAACCTCATGGAAAATTTCAAGAGCTGCTACTGCCGTTGCTTCTGCCTTTTATTAGAGAAAATTTCAAACTTAGAAAAGTAGAGAGAATTCCCCAGGCCACTCATTACTCAGCCTCTGTGTTTACCAACACACGGCCAATTCTCTCTCTCTCTTTTTTAATAACTCATGCCTTTCCCCATATTTGTTATTTTGCAGCTAATCTCTTATGCCATATAATTTTATTTCAACATTATTTCTGAAAGATAAAGGCTCTTAAAAGTCATAGCCAAAACACCACTATCTCAACTAAAAATAGGGCGCCTGGGTGGCTCAGTTGGTTCAGCGACTGCCTTCGGCTCAGGTCATGATCCCAGAGTCCTGGGATCGAGTCCCACATCGGGCTCCCTGCTCAGCGGGGAGTCTGCTTCCCCCTCTGACCCTCCCCCCTCTCATGCTCTCTCTCTCTCTCTCATTCTCTCTCTCAAATAAATAAATAAATAAAATCTTCAACTAAAAATATAACAACAAATAAGTCAGCCAATGCAGCCTCTCTAGCCATGCTTAACCGGTTGTCCAGAGCCAGGCTAGAATTCTCATGCATTTGTGAAACCAACTGGGAAATAAATATGAGGAGTAATTTTGGTATGCCTCCATTAGCAGCTAAGATGAATAATATAAAACTAATTTCAGTGTTGTGTGTGTGTGTGTGATTGAAAATAAAAAAAGATGATTCACAGAGAAAAGTAACCTGCTTTTGACAACTGAGAATATGTAGAAATTGAGAGTATAAAAAGAAAATCACTGACATTTCTTAATTTTTTCGGTATTACTGAATGAGAATCACCTTGTGATCTTCATGTATTTAGGAACTGAAATATGTGAACCTTTGTTACTCTTATTTAAAGGGCCTTGACACGCTGTGAATTGTGTAAGACTGATGAATCACAGACCTGTACCCCGAAACAAATAATACGTTATATGTTAATAAAAAAATAAAAAAGTAAAAAAGTAAAGGGCTTTGACATAGCATAACCTATAAGCTTACCGTGTCACTGAGTTGTACAGCTGAAACTAATGTCACATTGTGTATCAGCTCTACTCAAATTAAAAAAAAATAAAAAAAAACCCAAGGAAGTTTGAGTTGTATTATAGAAAGTAAAAATGATAATGGTACCAAATTTAAACTTACTTTTAAAAAAGGCAAGGCTTTAACATTTTCACAGCATCATTCTGATTTTTCAATCAAAATTTAAATTAAAATAAAAAATGCAAATATCTAACTCCTCCATTTCATGTTACAGCATTTTCCTTCTGGTACTACAGTCTACATCTCCCTTTCCACATGAAGTACAAAGCTAACCCGGGATTCTCAGATGAGTAACAAGTTTTTTCTTTTTCTTTTAAATTCCTCATAACTGCCCTGAAATGGAAATCATATGACAGTAGGAAATGTTAAGAATGCAAATTCTTGCATGAGATCCCTGCTGATAGAACTTTTTGGTTACACTAACAGCCGGGATCTATTTTTCATTTTGGAAATAAGAACCCAAAGCGTATTTCTTGTCTCCGGAAGGGAATGCTGTGAGGTGGTTTGGAGTCAACGCTCTGGCTACGCACGCAGGTCTTGGGAAGAACTGCTTTCACGTGCGGTGCAGGTGGAAATCGTCTCTAGGTTGAGTGTAAAAACATTCTTCCTCATGCTCATTGCCCGATATTCCTTCTAAGGTGACTTAGGGAAAATATCTCGAATTTTAGTATCAGGAATACTTTTTTTTTGCATTTCTGAAGCAAACGCTTTTTATATTTTATTGTTAATGTTTAATCTTCAGAGCCCTGTGGCTCATCTATGTTTTTATTTATGTCACTGAGTTGACTGCAGGAAAGCTTAGAAGTCCCGTTTTGGGGTCAGTCCTCATGTGTGTGTAGGGCTTGGCCTTACACTGTGGATGCTAACTTCACTTCTGGTCCCACATAACTTATCTCCTGATCCTAATTCTGTTCTCCTGCATTTTCAGTTATTTTATTACCTTGTATTATAACTTTGTGAGCAGCACTAAATCCTTCTTGGAACAAGCCGAAGTATAAATAAATGTTTGATGGAACTTTTTATGAGAACATAGTGGATAACGTCCACCACCACAATCAAACAGACCTTAGAAACAGGCAGTTTCAGGTCAGAAGCCATTTATTTACATGGAATTTTCTAAAGCTCAAGTTTAGGTCTGATTCATTTAAAATACATGCACTCAATCTTATCCCTCGGATAACAGAACGAACAGGATTTGTCACTTGTTTTTTCAAATTATCTGGTGGGTATCAAGTCTGTGTGGGATCTATCATGCCTGCTGACACTGTGATTTTGTTATTCATAATCTCTGTCCATCCTCAAATCTAATTTAATACAGTATGTCTAAAATTCTATTTAGAAACAACTTTCAGAAACTATGTTAAAAAAAAAAAACCCAAACATTAAAGTCATTAGCAGTCCCCTCGCCCATGTCTTTCCTCTGACCATCCGGGGCAACAATCTTAGCAAGTAACTCATATAAAAAGAGGTCACGCCTACCATTTACTGAGCACCTCGTATGTTCCAGGCAATGTTCTAAGGGCCTTATGTACAAGGTCCCATCTGAGACAACCCTGCCTTGTAGGCGATTCAATTTCCATTTGACAGATGACAAAGTAAGTATGATTAAGGATACTTTATCCTTGCTCAAGCTCTCCTGGAAGGAAGTGATCAACCTGGCTTCACAAGCATGCTCTGAGGCCAGCTACCTTCCTCCTCCTCCCTCCTCCTGCTCCCTGAGCCCGGGAGATCAGGGAGGACAAAGGCAAATTTACAATATACCCCACACCTGTTTACTTTTTTTTCCCTTTAGGACAGCCTACTTTAACTATTCTTAGAATCATTTTTAACAGATTTGAGGTATACTGTATATACCATAAAATTCACCCATTTCTTCATACAATCAGGCCACCACCGACATAAGCATGTTTTACAACACCTCATCATCTCTTACCCAGTTCTCTGGAGCCAAGCCCGGCCCCCAGCCCTGGTCTCAGACACAGTTAATCTTACTTCTCTCCCTACAGTTTTGCCTTTTCCAAGAAATTTCATATAAATGAAATCACCTTGTC